TAGAAATGCATTACTAAGATTATAGAAAACTAATCAAAGTCTTTTCTTCATTTGATAGTAGTTATGCATCCTTAGCATTGCTATTTGGATTGTATGTAGCAGCATTACTTACAAATAGTTGTCTACTCCCTCTTGTGGTATACCGCTTTATAAAGTCAAGTCATCTAGTTATCACACTACAGAGTTCACAATGAGGGACTTGTCCATCAAAATAATCCCAGCTTCTTTGTCACACAGATATGGAAACCAACCAAAACATACACTTGCATACTGTAGCATTTTTCTAAGTTACCACGAAATAGGTTGTGGCATTCATTATAAACAAATATCTTTAAAAAACAAACTGTGAATTAAAAGTAGAGTATGCTACCTTCAGTGATACCTTACCACAATCGCTTGCAAGAGTGGCTTAGGATTTTCTACTCTTGTTAATCTTTTTAACTAGGTGATATCCAACAAAGTTGGGGGAAAAAAGCTTATAAACCCAATCCATATACCTCTGCAAACAGATAATACTAGAAAGAGAAGTTTATAGCTCTAAAGCTGTAACAGCTTCCGCTGCTACTACTGGAACAGTGTTGAGATTCTTGTAATGATGCAATAAGAACATGTTTTCATTTCTTGGAGAATATTTAAGATCCCGCATAAATCTCAGCAAAGTTGACAGAGTATCTCCTGATGGTCCCCTTAAGAAATTCATATCCTCCTATCAGATTTTATCCTAAACTTTCACATAATTTTAATGTCAGTGCCAAAACAGTCTTAACACAGGCCTTTTGTTTATTACACGATTAATATCAGAAAGAAACTGTTTGGACATGCTGTTTCTTGCTATGTGATAACAATACTGTATTTCTGTAGTCATCTCTTTTGCTTCGATTTTTAGTATACTGATCTTTACACAAAACTTTTAGTAAAGAACATACATGTATTTGATATAGCTTCTGTGCTTTTTATTGCGTCTGTATCACTTTGGTACTACCCACAGCCTTTAGCCTCCTGTTAATCAGGCAACTAAGCAACTGTTGACTAAGCAACATCATGCTTCAGCCACTTACATTTGGATTGTACATTTGTCAGAGATCACAAGAATAAGCAGCCATCGGAGTAGTCAGGTCTCTCCTGCTATGGGGGACGAGTCACTGTGTGCCCAGCCAGGATCAGCCCAGCTCAGCAAGAACAGGAAGGGAAGAGTCTGCAGTACTGCTGCAGTGAAAGTTATTACCCTTGAAATACTCTCAGGCATTTCAAGAAGCATCAGAAACCCTCACAAACACATTCATAGGTACCTCTGAAAATTAATAAAGTCAGGAGACAGGAAAATGGCAACATACCGCCAAGGAAAAAGACGAAAAGGGCAACATACCGCCAAGGAAAAAGAGGAAAAGCCAGGAAATAACAGGCCAATCTTCCCAGAAATATTCAAACAGATCATTTTTTAGCACAGCAAAATGAGTAACTGTATTTCCTGAATGGAAACCACATGAAACTGATCTTACTGGTCATGGTACAGTCTGACAAATCATTCCCCTCCTTAAACTAGATAAATACTCTCTATGTAAGATTATAACCACAGACTTCTGTAAATTAAAATAATAATCATCATACAAGAGAGTATTTATCAATTGCTCTGTGTTAAGTTTGAAAGGGTGCGTCAGGTGGCATCACCTATGTCCTAATGAATATACTGAGTGTTGCTGGATTTCAGAGCTTTGAGAGAGAGAATGGGCCTATTAAAATCAGCAAATTACATTAAACTAGGAGAGGCAGGAGTATGTAGGAGAGCAGGACTGGAATTTGAAGCGACAGAGAAACAGCATGGAAAGAACAAGATGCAATTCAGTGAACACAAATACAATTCCTGCACTTGAGAATTGTAGGCTCAAATTCATAAATGCATGACACAAGAGTGACCTGTTAGACTGCCGGAGAATGTCTGAGAATTAAACTGAGACAAATATGGGCTAACTATGAGCCAATAATGTCATACTACTAGGAAAAAAGAAGAAAAACCAACAACAGCAGCCTGGGAATATAAACAGCGCTATTATTCTTAAAACATTCAAAATAGCTCTCCACTCGCTACTGCTCTGTTAGGAAACGGAGTCCAGGCTGAGGCTCTACAAATCAAGGAGGCTGACAAACCTGATTGCCTAGAGAAGAGGAACAAGAAAGTTAGAAGGCCTGGTTATTATTTTTCTTGCGTTTGTATGACAGAGAATAGAAGCTGTTCTCCATTGCCATATAGAAATGAGATAGCAGAATTGAGGGGAAATGGAGAATTAGTATTTTATAAATTGTAGAGAAAGAAAGATTCCATATGTTATCAGGAATGGAATGGCCAAGTTTCAGTCCTCTCCTTCTAATGGAGTTTTCCATGTCCTTTCTTTATCACTGTCTGACAGTGTCTGACGCTGGTTCACGGCCTGGGAATTGGCAGTTATACTTTTGTCACTTAATATTAGCAGCTTTCCAAACCCTAGATGCTCTGCCAATACCCTCTGGAAAAAGAGGATTCTCGTAGCCCAGACCACATTAGTGACGCTGAGAACTACATGATTTCTAACACCATACTGTTGCCACAGCAAAAAGCTATCGGTGAAAATACTCATCACCACAATTATATCCAAGCACCTCCAGCTCTAACTCCACTGAAGTGATGTGCTACATGTGAAGTGGAAATTGTAGATAGATCAGAAACTAAATCCATGTTTTCTGAATCCCCGACAGCATCACATGCATTAAAACTTACTCTCACAGCTAGCAAAGTTCATATTCATTTCCCTTGTCCTCAGCTCACAGTAATGTATGCTTGAACACTGGCTACTGAACTCATAAGCGTACAGTAAATTCACAGCTCGGATTTCAGACAGATCCATATGCATATATATTCTCACTTCCATTAAAGCAAGAAAAAGTAACAAGCAAAATAGCTTCCATGCCCAGCAGAGGCACAAACAAAGTTAAAGCTTTAAGGAACCTGTAAGTATCCATGGTGGTCCATTCATGTTTTGGGTCCAATGCCTTGATTCTCTTTATTTGTTCTCCTGCATCTCCTATCAATATTGTTTCAATAACCCTCCTCTGCCTAAATCAGCCCAACTACAATGAAAAAAAGAGTCAGGTATATAGCCTGATGCAGTTCACCGGGTATTGGCATTGTGTCTTTTGAACTCCAGGGAAATAGCAACAGCTTGCATGCACAGCTGGAAGTGGCCATTCCTTTCTACTGAATTCCTCTTCTCTCCTAGGACTAATGACCAGGCTTTTGCCTTGCTGTAGTCTTTAAAAAAAAAAAATATTTTTGATAGATTCTGTCTTCTGTCACACTCCAAATGGACCTAATACATTCACAATGGAGAGACTTTTTTTTTTTAATTTAAATTCAAATGACAATGAAGCAGTTAAAGAACCCTGAAAAAATTAAGATTTTTTTGTCACAGCTTTGCTCTTAGCAGGATTTTGTGTTTCTGCAAGAGATTGAAATCAGTAATAAACAAAATTAACACACCTAGAAAAGAGCAAAACTTCTTTGCAAAACATTTCAAAATCTCATTGGAGAAGGAGGAGCAAGATGAGAAACCTCATAGCTCAGGGAACTGCAACTGGACTTTCAGGCACCTGGGTCATGGGCAAGTACTCTGCCCTGTTGGCAGTGATGGGATTGGTACCACACACGCACACCCCCAGAGAAGTGATTAAGCTTCTCTTTTAGAGAACAGGCTTTTAAGGTATTAGGACCTTCAAAACACAGAACATAAACCCCCATCCTTGGAGGCTGTACTAGGAAACTAATTCAGAGAATAAGAACACAGTGATAGCTGGAAAGATGAAACAACTCGGTATTTACTATATTATGCAAATATGCTTTACTGAAAAGTGAAACACTCAAAAGAACCAGCAACAAAGCAAGATTCCTTGTATCATTCTACTAAAGCGCACCAGGCTTTAACAAAATGCAGCTATTCTATATGTCAACAAGAACTGCAAAGGTTAAGAATCCAATCCCCCCTCCCCCCCCCCATGGGAACAGGTGTGCAGAAACATGAAATCCAACCCTCTCGTTTGGGTCAATAAAGTTTTGCATATGGCAAGAAGAGAGCTGAGCCGCCTGCAGGCACCCTACTAAGACTACAGCCAAGCTTGTCTGTGTATGCATGCACATATGGTAGGGGAGGAAACTCAGACATTGCAGCAGATGGCCAGATGGCCTCATTTTAACATGTGGTGGTAGTATGGGGATTTGTCCCCCCTTCCCTCTTGGCTAGATCAGCAATTTTTATACAGCAATTATCCGTACACAAATTCTACAAAACTATTTCCTAATAACATTTCACTTGGAACGACAATCAAAAGCATATGTTTTTGCAAAGCCCTCTTACCTGGAAAGTTAGAGAGAAAACCAGTTTGTTTGCAACATCACACAGACACTTTCCACAAGAAAGAAATATGACTGTGGCCAAGTAAGCCTGAGATTTCCCTTAATCAGGAGAAGCCATACATTCCCAGTGGTTAAAGGTGAGACAGATACTAATTTTAAAATCTATCATATAATGAAGACAATCTATAATAAGATGAGCCATTAAAAAAACCATCAAGTCAAATTCACACTTGCATCAAGTCAAGTCAGTGGAGACACCGCTGAAGACACCAGCCCGGCTGATCTACAACAAAAAATAAGGTCATGGGAGGCCAATGCCAGCACTAATTTGTGAAATCACACAGGCAACACAACATTGTAGCGGCCATAGAAAGTGACTCTAAAATTCAGATTCCAAAAATCAAGATTAACAAAATCATCTGGATCAAAGTCACGTTTGTTTTCCAGCTGATGGACCTGACCTCCATTTCAAACCCATCCTAGGATGCTTTTCAGCCACCACAGCAGAAGACACAAGCCTCTTCCAGCTGATCGTTACCCAAACCTAGTCCAGGAATTCAGAGGCAACATACAATAAAAAGAATAACAAAACAGGCACAAGGAACGCACTGTGCTACAGATGGTCTCGTTTCACAGCACAATTACCATTAGGGCAGCTTTCACCCTCACACCAGCCCTTGAGCACGGGGCCTCGCCCACAGCAGACACCTCCCTCCGGGGGATCGTGGCCGGCCGGGAGAGCAGACGGGGCCACGGCGGAGGAAAGAGGCAGGACAGGGCTCGAGGAGGTCGGTAACACAGCGCTGCCGGAGCCGCGGAGCGGGAAACGAGGTATCTTACCTCAGCGCGGTGGTGGCAGCGACGGCGCAGCCGCCCTCACGCGACACCTCCTCCC